TTGCAGCTCTAAGTTGAAAGTGTTTGTCACATTTTGGTCTGATTGGAAGGCACATAAAAACAAATTCCAAAACTTAGATGCAGAAACATAAGTGTCTAAATTTGAGGCCCCTTTGAGCTTGAGGCCTGGGCCAAATGGCCCTTCTGGCCCACCCACAATTGGCCCTAATAACAGTAGTTAAAGTTGATAAACCTATGAAAGCTATGTATAATATACGCGTAAATAACAGACAAAAGGAACTTGAAAAACCATTCAAAGTTAAGCCTAAAACAGGACTCGCTTTTCCCAGTATACCGTATTTGCATTCCACGTATTTTTGGTTAGACCAACAAATAATGTCTAATTCTATGCTGTTCGATTCAGGTAGACAGTTTAAGGTCGTTTATGCTTAGTAATAACAGTAGTTAAAGTTGATAAACCTATTACATCTATGTATAATCTACCAGTAAACAATTGACAAAAGGAACTTGGTAAACCTGTTCAAAGTTAAGAAAAAAACAAGACTCGCTTCACTCAGTATAACGTTTTTGTATTCCATTTTGTCTTGGTTAGGCCTACAAATAATGTCCACATTCTTCGTTTCAGGTAGACAGTTTAGTGTTCTCTATGCTTAGTAATAACAGTAGTTGACAAACCTATGACATCTATATATAATCTACGCCTAACTATCAGACAAAATGAACTTGGAAAACCTTTCAAAGTTAAGTCTAAAACAAGACTCGCTTTTTACAGTACATCATACTTGCATTCCACGTTTATTAGGTTAGGCCTACAAATATTGTCCAGTAATGTGGAGCCCTAATTAAACTAAAACAATAACAAAAAACTTACACAAATTACAGTGATAATTTATATTTTTATCGAATATAGCCTGTACTTACTAATGTTAGGCTTAAGACAAGTGGACTTGCAGATTTCGGCGTGTTCGAGTAGTATTCTTTTGTATTATTTTAGAAATATTGTATTTAAAGGAGATATTAACTTCGCCAGTGTTATGCGGGTCTCTTCTAGTATAAAGATAAAAACCTTGATACTGTGTCCATTTTTAACTATTTAAAGGTTGTTTGGTTTTTAGCATTTGTGCTATTCTTAACTATAATTTCCCCTATTTTCTTATTGAAAAACATAATAGAGTGAAGTAATAACTGTATAATTAAACATAGTAAAATGGGGTGGGGGATTATATTAGTATACATATGGATTAGAATGTTCAATTTATACGACACCTTATTCGCACGTGGGCTATATGACCATGACCAGGTCAGAGACTCCTAGGGTCCAAATATATTTGTCCCTAATTTTGAACTACTGACCAAAGGAAAGGCAGTCAGCCAGCAGCACCTATAAAACATAAAAAGGCTTTGACTGGTGCTTTAAATCGAAAAACAGGATTGACTGTCACTTTTATAACGCACGTCTCAAACCTTTGGAACCGGAGCTAACCAATAAATAATGTACAATCATTCTTAGAAAGAAGCAAAAATGGAATACTATTGCTTTAATTTCAATTCAATATTGAATGACAACTTACATAGTACGTTCTTGTACAAATTGATCAAAGATCTGAAAAAGTAACATTCCCAACTCTGGTCTCTTTTTTTAACAGTTGTATTATTATTAAAATACTTTGCTCGATACCAGTAATAAACAATATTTTCAAAGTTGTATACAAAAAATAAAATAAAGATCGTCTTGAACAGTACATTTAGCAGTCTTTGGCTCTTATAGGTGTCGCAACAGTCTTGTGTTAGTGTAGGCCTAACGTTTTACACATTGTCGACATATATTTTGTACAGGGTCTTTTTCGCTTTAAAAGATTTTCGTTTTAAGATGTGGTTTTAATCAGATTTTGTTTTTCATTCCGTATGAAAGTATGTTACATTTGGTTCTCGTTATTCTCTTAATATAAGTTGTTTTCTATCTGGGACTGAAGTATGCAAAACACTGTAAAATATAATTGAACGAAAGTTAATAAAAAAACAGAAAAGGAAGCAGTTGTAATTACTTACAGCACCACCTGGTTTCACTGTGCGTATCTTGAAAGGAAATACTTTAATTATCCAGTCGAATGGACAATAGTAACGCATAAGCTATACACTAAATATGATATATTGTGTTGTCAAGAAAATGGCAAACACTCAGGTTAACATTAAAATGAGTACATTATGTCACGATTAATGAACTACGCAACAATTAACCTCACTGTAAGGGGTCATTTGTTTTACACGGTTTGGACGTAAGGTTTACCTGTAAACCACTAAGCGATGTCATGTGCTCGATACACAGCTTTTTTTTTTCACGATATCCGCAGAAATTGTCCGTTTCATTAATTTCGCGCAAAGCTAAACAAATAATATCTGCGCATAGTCAGTCGTTCGTAATTTTAAACTGATAGACTATAGAAGGAAGTCAACTAGTCACCAGCGCCAACTCTTGGGTTACTCTGGTCCGATCGAATATTAGGCTTTGACCCTCATTCTTTTAAGGCACTCGTTGCCCCACAATGCGGAGCGTGTTTTTGCAGCAACAACTAGCAAACTACGAATCCGCCGATTCACAGTACAAGCATGCTAAGCACTAGGCCACATCTGGCCCACCGTGGAAAGTAACTAAAAGAAATGGAAAAATAACATTACGTGGCGTTTTAATTAATTGCCTTTTAAAGGAAGGGTGTCGTCTATCAATTATGTGTCGAGATAACAGCGAGCCAAATATATCAAAGGTTTTCGGATAATGATCTCAGACTAGTTACCGATTTCTAAACGACGTTATTAAAATGCATGTGTTAAATGTGATTCTTCTGCCATGGTGATGACCAGAAGGTTAGCTATAATTTCATGTTTATAGATAAGCGTGATTGAGCACGGTCCTTTAAGAAAACTCCACATGTGAAGAACTACATTCGTTCGTGATGTTTAAGATATCAAAACTTCGTTTATGTCTCTAGGCCACTTTCTTAGTGACTAAAATAAGTCAACAATAACACCATGAGCTAAGACTAACTAAAAACTACACAGTCACAACGCTTAACAAGCGCTTTTGAAAGATAAGTATCTTTCAGAAGCAAACTAGAAAGGGTGATATAAAAATGACAAAAAACAAAGTAGAGTGTAGCCCTTAAGCACAAGCCAGCGACTGTTTGAGTGCTTACACAAGTGAGTTAATACTTTCAAAATTAAAATGCATTCATTGTTTTATCTTTCACAAAATGCGACAAGATGTGTGATATCTAATCCTTTAAAACAACAACTAGAAATTTAATTTGAGCCTTGTTGTTTTTATGATTTGGGGGGCAATTCCCCTTAAACCCCACTAGCACAACTAATTATATCCATTCCTTTAAAACGACAATTAGAAATTTAAGTTGAGCCTTGTTGTTTTTATGATTTTTGAGGGGGGCAATTCCCCTTAAACCCCACTAGCACAACTAATTAATGAACTTCGTGATCTGATTATTCTCCTACTTCGTTTGCTTTGTTGAATTTCACGCTACCAGAGGGCTATCTGCGCTAGCTTTCCATAATTTTGAAGGTACAGACTAGAGGGAAGGAAGCCAGTCAACAGTACTCGCCACCAACCCTTGGGCTACTCTTTACCAACGAATAATGGGATTAACCGTCACATTATAACGCCTCCACAACTACAAGGGCGAGCATGTTCGGTGACGGGATTGCGAGTCGAGTGCCTTAGCCATCAGGTAATGCCAGGGCCCTGCTCCCGAGGGAGAGCTACAGAGTGTGTACGTCTGAAAAAGCTCTACTAGTGCTAGAGATCACAAACAGATCACACTTTCTCCGAAACTCCGAGATTTTCATTAAGAAAGATACTTAATTTCGGGTGTAAATCGAATGATTTATTTTTGTTGAAGTATCGGGATTTAGCTCCAATATGAAATGCTGGAACAGAGCTACACACTTGTTCCTAATCACCATTTGGAAAGTAATTTAAGAAAAAAGCTCAATTTTCTTCCGTTTCGATTATTATTTCTGCTATACAACAGCTAACTGTTAGTTAATTTTTTTTCTTTCTAATTTTCTAAACCTAATTTCGTCGTATACATTAATTTTACCCATATATTAAGTTCACGCATTCTACCATATTAAATTATTTTATTTTATTGCTCATTACAACATTACAAATATTGAAATAACTCATTTTTTATATAAGAAACAAACGAGATATGTAGGAATAATTTCACAAAAATGGTATTTTTTGTTTATTTGTGTGTGTGATTCATATCAAATGTTATGGGGGTGGAGGGGGGGGAAGGGTTGTGAACATCCCGATCAGGGACCAAAAAACAAGTTGATGCATAAACTGTGTAGAAAAATGCCTTTAAAAATGGGTTGGACTTCAACAGTAAGTTTAGAATTACTTCCCACCCCCCAAAACATGAAATGTGTCACGTTAGGGTCTGTTATAGTTGCTATAGGCTAGAATTTTTTCTTTCACAACATGCCAAGTTACTAACAATAAAAGCAGCTTACAGTTTATATATTTCACAACATGCCAAGTTACTAACAATAAAAGCAGCTTACAGTTTATATATTTCACAACATGCCAAGTTACTAACAATAAAAGCAGCTTACAGTTTATATATTTCACAACATGCCAAGTTACTAACAATAAAAGCAGCTTACAGTTTATATATTTCACAACATGCCAAGTTACTAACAATAAAAGCAGCTTACAGTTTATTTACTTCACAACATGCAAAGTTACTAACAATAAAAGCAGCTTACAATTTTATATATTTCACAACATGCCAAGTTACTAACAATAAAAGCAGCTTACAGTTTATATACTTCACAACATGCAAAGTTACTAACAATAAAAGCAGCTTACAGTTTGACAGTTTTTTAATGATACTTAATAAAAAAGATCCAAAGTTACCGACGGGAATAAACCATATTATATGCCACTTTGATACTTCTTAACTTCTTAACTTGTTCTGCACTAACGTAAAAACCACGTCCAGTGTTTCTTATATTTATGCTGGTTCAAGGCAATGGGACGTGAGTTCAGGACATTTTATTCATGACGGTCCTCACACTGTAAGTTTATTTTGTTTGTTTGTTCTCAATCAAAGCTACATTGGGCTATATGCTTTGTCCACCTCGGGAAATCGAACCCTTGATCTGTGCGTTGTAATTCCGCTAATTTAGCGTTGACCCACCTGGGGTGGGTGGACAACAGTGTAAGTCCTTGTACAAGATACTTAGTTTATTTCTGGTGCTGGAAGACACGGATCGATCATCAATCGCACTTGTGGTGCACATTATCTCTGTAGTAAAAAAAAGCAAGAAAGGTGGTTATAATTTTAGAAGAAAAATACACGTGTTACATAAAGTTTGATAACTCCTCATAAAGGCTAAAGTTTTATACATAAGCAAGGATTGTCATATTATGTAACCCCATACTATTCCATCATCCGGCTAATTAGCTTGGAGGATAAGCTTGACCCTTAATAAGAGGGTACTTTACCCCCCTCCCCCTCCGATTTCCAATAAAATACGCGCATCTTATTTAAGTGAAATTGTAAGTTCAAGATAAAACAATCAAGTTGAGAGGATAGGGCTGTTTGTTTGTTTGTTGAAATTCTAGACTAGAGGGAAGCCAGATAGTTAATAACATTCCCGCAACCCTCTTGGCCTACTCTTCCAAAGACTAAATAGTTGGTTTGTGGGTTTACCCATCACTGTTATAGCGCACCTATAGCTCCAAAGTATATAGCAAGATTTTTCTTTCGGTAACGGGACGCGAACCACAAATCCACAGTATATATATGTATATGTTTTTGTTGTTTTTTTTTTAAACTGATGTTAGTGAAATCACCACCTTTCACAACCACACAAGATGAAAAACAGAATTGCAAGTCCAAACAAAGTTAATCTTTCTTTCACCGCCAATACTCAGATTCTCACTGAACGAGTTAATGCAAAAAAAAACATATGAATTATTTGCTTGATACGACGCTAGGGGGTGACATTTTCAAAGAAAAAAAAAAGTTAACATAAACCGTCCGAATATTGAAACTGCCCAACATCGGTGGAAACTTGTGATAAACGGGCACTTATGATTATCATGTCACGTTCTTCGTGGTCGCTCGAGGCAGTAAAATGACAAGATTAATTGATAAATGTATGTAATTTCATTTTTATTGTCACGAACTCTAGTAATTATGAACATATCTCCTGTCCTGCCTTAACCACATGCTTCAATAAAGAGCAGAGGGTACCTTCCTTGACTAAATCTGTTAATCTTAAATCCTTGCTGTGAGTGTTAACTTAGGTGCAATATATGTGTC